GTTCCTTAGGAATTACGGACATAGTTGTATTTACACAGGAATGTGATGAAACGGGAAAATCTAAGTGGTTTGAATTTTGGAATATCTGAATCAGTGATGTCACTCTGAGACATGCGTTTCCCTAGGAATGGTGGGCAAAGTCATATCTTTATGGAAATGATTCAAAACATTTGAAGTTCGTATGGGAGAAAGCGAGTAAATGCTAGTTGTTACGAAGTTTAGTAAGTGGGAATTTGGTGGGATTAGATCAATGCTCTCAGACTCGTTCCCACTAAGGAAATTGGTGTGGACCTTTTGAACAATTCTCGACGATTATTCTATCGATCTTCTTGCTTACTCCAACCACGAGGTCAGGTTTATTAAACATCGACAGTCAGTTGTACACCAAATTCTTCGAACGTTGTTTTTGTTTAAAATAGACACTTTTCTTGGGAATTTCTTTGGTAGCAATCGTTATTCTCATCAATTTCCAAAAGGGGTTACGACCGTTGGAAATTGAAATGTTACATCATTTTTTACCAAATGTTACATCATTTGGTAAAATCTGGTGATGTTTTCTTTATAGCGAGAAATGTTACATCATTTTTTACCAAAGAAGTTGTATTGTGTTTGCACACAGAAATAGTTGAGTCGGAGACAAATGAGGTAGATAGAACTCATCGGTGAGTTGATTGCACCTTTGAGTACCATCATGGTCAGGCAACTGCCGTAACTGATGCTCTTAGTCAGAAATTCTCATGATTGTCCTTCTTAGGTTGTTGGGGACCCATTAAGGATGCGAATGGAGATAGATGAATGTCACCATAGACTTCCGGTACAAACCACCTTGTACGCGTGGAAACTATGATGACGTTTCGGTATTTATTAATCAACTCACTCGTCGTATTATCTACCAGTCCTTGAAGACTATACTTCAATCGTTTGGCAAAATTCTTCATTCTAGATTTCTTTAGACTGATGTCTCAATTTACATCGATTGCTACCATATTCCCAGTTTCACCTTCTGGTACTAGGAAGCATTTGAGTCAACTTTGAGTTCGAGCTTACCCTAGGACACTTCATATCATTTCCTTCGTATTATTTCCAAGCAGACAGACTGTTCAGGAAAATCACTCAGACCCAAAAGTTTTAGCTAGAACCATCAGTCATTTAACCACCTTTTAAGCATCCTATCGAGCGAATTATTACCACTAGTGTTTGAATATCTCCGAGGTTATTGTTGTAACAAGTTGTTGTGAATATTAGAATGGGAAAAAGTATAAGTTCTCGTCTATCAGAGTTCTTTAGACTACCACCTGTGTCGAGTCCGCACTCAACCATCTTGACTTACCACCACTAAATCAAGTTAGGTACGTACATGTATTCTTGCATCAAGGCTACGCATTCACTCTGGTTATCTTATTTCCTAGCTTTGGATGGATTTGTTTTGACCCTTAAATTTGTGAGTGTTCACTTAGCCTTCTCGGCATAGCTATTCGTGAAATTCGAGAGAAATTTGCAATGAATTAGCTTGCTTAGGAGTTGCGAATCACATTGTTTGGTTTTTGATGTATCATCAATTTTGTACCTCATCGTGATGCACGTTTCACTTCTATGTTTCGTGAAGTTTTTGTGAAAGCTTTGAGTACTAATTTGTTTGTCCTGTATTGCTTTTTTATTTGCAGACTGTTGGTCAATCTTGAACGAACTATCTAGATCTTGAAAGACGTGTTGCGTTCTTTTAATTTGTGATTTCTGAATGAGTAGATTTTGCATCTATCTCATTTGGAGTAGTTACGAAGATAGTTCTTATTTCCAGTTTGTGTATGGCACTATTTGGGACTTGGTTTGATTGATTCTATTGACAGCACTGGTTGGACATTGGAGTTCTATGAATTTGTTTCCAGATGTTTGATTTTATGATTTGAGAAACTGTGTGCTTGTGTTGTTGTTGACTTGGGATTGGACAAATTGTATGTTTGCACCCTTAGGAAATTACTATTTGCTTATCGAGACAACAATGTGTTGTCGGTATCGCGGGCAGCCGACTATGATATCGATGGCTTAGAATTGTTTCCCTTGTCAATTATTGTAAATTGTACCACACATGCTCTAGAATTGTTTCTATAGGACTATGCTGCTGGAAATATCACGTTAATAGCTTAATTTCTCTCATCAAAATGTTGTTCATACATATGCATTTCATGTCATTATTTCCAATTCATTATGCCAAGTGGTTATGTCTAGTCAAAACTTTTTGCTGCTTTCACACGAGCTAGGCACACACTTTAAGGCAACCCATATAGACTTTCTAATAGCCTTTTCTCCGGGAGTGTTTTTCAACCCTAGATCTTTTCAGATTGTGTTTGCACATGACACATGGCATTTTCATCCCCTCTCTTTGTCTAAAACTCAGCCTTCTATATAAAGTTAAATCTAGGGGTTTTTCAATCTGGCTAGGAGATTTATATTTTCTGATAAAGGTTGTTTCAGCTATGAGTTGCCCCTTGGTTCTTACTTGAAAAACATAGCCACAAAATCACACTAATGCACTAAGTACCCACATCATTGCATATTAGGGTAGCATTGATTTTGTGATTTTGATATTTATTTTAGGTCAAGTTTTTTTTAAACTTCAAATCTTTGAACTGACCTCTTTTTAGATTCGTGTCAGTTTCATCTTTCAGGTGTTTGACTGGTGAAACTGACTAGACATCGAATCCAAATTTGCATTAACTTCATCATAACATCATTTGCATAAGTTGATTTGATTTCGATGCCACAAGGTGAAGAGCTCAAGAGGAGCTACCACTTCGTGAAGACCAAATGAGTCCATCTCGTGAAAGGCAGGGTTGCACAAAGGTGTAAACTGCTCCGTAAATTAGGATCTATGAATTGAGCTTGTGCGATAACTATATAAGAATCTTGATTTCACTAGTGGATTGGACTTAGTAGAGAGTCCCTGGTTTTTTTAACCTAGAGGTGGGTTTTTCCGGCCAAAAACAACCCGTGCAATTTATAGCTTTTCTAGTTCACTTATCTTACTCTTTGCTTGTGATATATGTTCATCATTATTAGCAAATAGATAAGTCCATGAAACTAAGATTGTCAGAGTTAAAATGTGCACTGAACTGAACCTTAGTTAACTAGTTCACTTCAATAAACCAAGCTTTGAACTAACTACTTCCGCTGTGAGTAAACTAACATATATGATCTTAGTTGATGAGTGTTGCTGACTAGTCAGACAAGCACGTATATAGATTTTAAATTGCAGGTTATTCCACCTGGTAGCAATTTCATAAATCATACCTGAAGACGCCATCACAACTTGAATCAAAGAAAGATCTTATGCTCACTAAAAAACTTATGCTACTAGTAATAGAGCTAGTAAACTTTGAAACATGTGTTCTCATGAGCAGGTACCAACCTATATCTAGACGCTAAATCAAACTAACTCCCACCTATCATGGGTAATAGTTAGTAAGTGCAGGCATTTAGTAACTACACCATCTCAACTTCATAGACGTGGGGTTATCCACTTCTCCAATTCCAATATGTTTGCCTAAACATCCTACTTTAAAGGAATGAAGTTAATTAAAATATTAACTCTAAATGATGATTATTATTATTATTATGACGTGACAATTAAGTCTTTGTTGGAGAACAATTTAGAAATTAAATAATAACAGAATATGAAAATAACTAAATATAATAAGGAAGTATACTTGCAATAAAGAATGAAAACTATAACAAATAAAAATGAAAAATTATACTAACTTGATTAACAGATAGAGGCTAGCGATGCTATATCATTCGAACAATATTTCCATCCCACTCTTATGCTTGTGGTTCTAGTTGCTTACTGAGTTAAATCTTATGAGTAGTTTATTGTGGTTCCAAGAAAGCTTTTCTTTCCTTTTGCGAGAGCTTTTTCCTTTTCCCTCCTCAAATCTGGTCTACTTTCTTTTAGTTTGCCATTTTGAGAGTCGGCGACTTAGGCATCTGGCATCCATCTCTAGCTCTTCTCTTTTTATTTATTTATTTATTTTCTTCTCATGTCTTTCAACCCCATCTTTCCATACTCCCCTCAATTTTCTGCATATGGTTCATCTTCTTCATTTCCTTCCCTACCACCCTCCATTTCCCTTAAAGCAAATATTAGATATTGCAAGGTTGGATCCAAATTGGGATTTTAATTTTAAGGTCTCAATCAGTAGCGAAAATCTAAGATCTGATTTTTGCTTGGGGAAAGTTTTCCATTTTTGGGTTCTTTTGGGCACGCAATGCGTTTTATGGACCCACCTTGGATTGCAGACAACTATGGAGGTGGCTAGCAAGAGAACAAGAGGTGGGATGCTTCTATTTGTTGGAGATTAGGGTCTTTTCGATTTTTTTAAACTTTTGACCCTAATGCTTTTTCTGTTTTCTTCTCTTTATTTGTTGCTAATGCCCTTCTTCAGCCTCATGTCTGCGGTGGCGGGTTCGTGAGTTTATGGGTCACGTTTGTCCCTTTCTTTGATCGTCAGAGGATAATGCTTGTTGATGGCTCGCACAGGATGCCACAAAATCGTCCTCTATAGATCTCATGTTGTGGCTACGGCCTTAAGGTCTTTGGTGTTTGGTATTCCAGTGGTGGTGATAGAAGGACGTTAGTGGCAGCTGTTAGGGTTTCTTTGTTTTCTGTTTGGGCTCGAAATATTGCTTTGAGCTATATTTTATTTTGGTTTTAGGGTCCATCTCTATGTTTTGAGCTTAAAGTTGTAATTGGGCCTCTCTATGTATAAGTTTTCTGGTTTAGTAATAAATTTACATTTGTCCAAAAGAAAAAAATTATTGTGGTTCCAGGTACGGAAGACGTTTAGACGGCTTGGTGACATGGCAGTTGGTCTTGGTCTTTGACATCATGCCCTGAAATTTATTATTTATTTTACAATTTTCGATAAACCAATATTTAGCCTAACTTTGAAACCTAGTGATTCAAAATTATATATACTTAAACTTAGTTTTTAGGTTATTGTTGATCTATAGTGTGTGGACGGATTTACCCCTCATTTTCTTCAGTGTTTTCTGATTTTGGTGTGATTTTATAGTGGGGTGGCGATTTTGCCCTTGGTTCATCGCGGAAAGCCTTTCTACTGCTTCCTGTACAGATATCTCGGTCTCTCCAGCTCTCTCTCAAAAACCCGGAACCAAAAATCTCTTCAGTTCTGTCTCAATTCCAGCACCCACCGCCACCACTCAGACGCCCCCAAAAGGTAGATTTCTTCTCTCTTCCTTACATTTGGAATCTTGAAATCCTCGCAACCAAGCTCCCTCATTTGGGCTTCCACGCCCACCCAACAAAACCCCCAATAACAATCACAACAATCCACAGAGGGGTTATGAACATCATCAACTCGCCCAGCACCTCCACTATCGTGGGTCGTCTCAGAATCTCCATAAAAGAGCATCTTTATATGTATATATATATATATATATTTTTTTTTTAAACAGAGAATTTCAAGCTCTCTCTCGCTTTCCATGTTTGCTGACAGAAACAGATGCTAAAGGGAATCAGGACATCAAAACTTGATTGGTAATCTGCAAATCCACGAGGTGGGTTTTTTCGAATTTTCAAATCTTATTAGTTTGAACTTTTGGTGTTTTGAGGAAATCTTTGTGATTATTTGGTTGTGAAATTTAGGATTTTGGCAACATGGGTCGGTCCAAATCTGATTAGGGTGGGCTCTCTGATAAAAGGGAGCTGTTTTTCTGTACATTTGAGAGAACCCAGAAGGTAGGATTTGATTATTGTGGACTAGTTAATATGCGTTGCAGCTGCTTTGGTGCTTCGGTTGCTGAGAGGAAAAGGAAATCTGGTTCTGGTTCTGGTCGATTTGGCCATGATTTGGCCATGATCTTGATGGTACGGACATGGTTAAATGTTCCCACTTTCTGGTTTTGTTATTTTTTTACCTCCGTGCTGTGGTTTTTTTGTTCATGTGATTCTGCTGGATCATCATTGTTATTGTGATTGATTGATTGTTTTGTGTGTTGCATAGAGAATGTGCTGGAAAATATCAAGGCTTTCTCCTACAATGAATTAAGAACCGCGACGGATAATTTTCATCCGAGTAATAAGATAGGTCAAGGCGGTTTTGGAACTGCATACAAGGTACTCAAGATTATGCATTTGTCTTTATTATTTATATTGGGAAGTTTGCACCAATTATAGAGAATTCATGATATCTGCGGTTCGAAAGATGTCTTTGTTTCAATTCCAAATTTGCTGCAATGACTAATGAGTTGGCAGCCTCAAAATATCAAGCAATTGGGTTTGCGTTTTAAGAACACTTCAAGTTCTATCCTTATGTTTTTTAACACATAGATGCAATGTTTGGTCAGGTACAGAGTATAATAAAGCATTTATAAAAGGATGATTACCCATTTTTTTAACATTTTTTAAGATCTTATAAATCTTTTCCTACATCTATGCATTTGTTTTTCTCAGTTCACAATTTAGCAGAATGAGAGTATATTTCTGTTTACCATAAGATGTGAATTCTAACCTTTATTCATACGTGCAGGCTAAGAATTGTGGTAAAAGAGTTTATTGTGGTTAGCTTAGAGGACAATGTGAGATTAGCAATTTGAAGAGTCTACTTTCTCCTCATATGTTTGCTTTAACATGTGTAAGTTGTAATTATTATTTTTCTCTTCATGGCGTACTTAAATTTGTAGATCAGCATATATTTGTTTTTGACATTTCTTATTAAATTTATTTGAAAACTAACTGAAGAAAGTATCCAATTTTTAAGCAATTAAAAAAACTCACCTCAATAATTACAGTTTTATTCCAATTTCTAAGCAAGGGGAAAAAACCTCTGAAGTTTCAATGAAGAGAGTTAGAAGTTCTGAATAGTATATTTGTGTAAATAGGATTGTAAATATGAATGTACATATATAAGTAAATAGAGATGTAAACATTGTTGTTAGTAAATAGTAAAGGACTATATGTTGGTTACTATACAAGGATTATATATTAACATATTTATTTCTTTATTAAATTAGGATTTTCAATTTGATTGAGGAAGATCTTAGTGACGGTGTACTATGACACGATCATCAATCTGCTTTGTGAAATGATATATATATATATATGTATGTATGTATGTTTGAAATGATTGCGAACTGAGGGCTAATAGAGGACCAATACCTTGTATTTTTCTTTTTCTCATTTCATGGGGGGATATTAAATCCCTAGTATGTTACCTTTCTTTATGATTCCATGAGTGGTTCTAGAATCCTGCTTGACTTTCAATAGGTTCCATAAGTGGTTCTGGAACACTACTTCTGTTCAGTTGAATGAGAGGTTTTGGAACCCTATTTCATGTATCCTTGTCGTCTGGTTCCATGAAAGGTTCTAGAAAACAGGGCTTGATGATGTTGCTCTAGCCCTATGATTTTATTATATATGAAAGAAATGACAATTGGATGCCTGTGTGGATCAATCAAGATTTATGAGTGAGGATTATTTTATATATATAAAGATTCCAAAATGTTTTTTTTAATCACTTGTTGTATTATTGTCGCTCACACGAGTTTCACAGCTTTTCGAGTTTTTGCATTGTTCAATGCGCCATTTCCACGACGTGGGGTTGTTTTGCAGAGTAACAGGTAGCGGTTCTAGAAGAGGTTTTCAAGGGGTGTAGCTGGCATGTGCAGTGCACTCGAGAGTAGGGTTTGTTCCCTTATGTTGTAATTTCGTTGCCGCTGATCATCTAATGTGTATTATGTATGAGTCCCAATTGACTCTATGTATTGTTGTAATGCTACTTTCAGCTGCTACGTGTCGATCCTTGGCGTATCTCGAGATCGGGGTGTGACAACTTTTGATGGTATCCGAACACTGGTTCTTGGACCTTTGCATTTCAACGGATGCTGATACATGCATCAGTTGTGTCGAGACCTGAAATTTGGACTTACTTGGGCTAGAGCGAGAATTTTCTTTCATCATCTTCTTGTTTTCCTGTGTTTTCATTTGGAAGTTGTGTGCCTTTGAAGCCGAGGCAACTAGAATTTCATTAGTTAGTTGAGCCTTGAAGTGAACCAGTTAGTTTCGAGAATAAGTTGGTAGAAAAATTGGAAGTGCGAAGGTCATTTCTATTTTCAGTTTTGATTCTAGTGCAAGTATTTTCAACTTTATTTGATTATATGAGTATTATATAGAAGGAGAATTGAGTTGAGTTTGGAGGCATGAAAGAGGAATCATTGCAATTCGATCACCATAGAATAACATCCTCTGTATGCAGCCTGCTCTTGTTTTTTTTTTTTTTTTTTTTTTTTGGGTCAAACAATAGAATTGTTAAACTAGATTTTAGATTAGGAAGCTGATGAGGTTCGAACCTACGCCATGGTGTAAGGGCAACACTGTTCTCTACCACTGTAATAGAGGACCACTTGCATGTAGCCGTTCTTGCTTGATATCTTCTTATATTTTCAATCTATAGTTTGAGTATTTTGAGTATAGCAAGCTATTGCACACAAATTTTTTATAAGGTGGACAGGATGTGATATCCGGCCCTTTATTTATTTTGTTTATTTTGCAGTTTTCTAAAAATTTGGGATAAACCGATGTTTAGCCTAACGGAAAGGGATCCCTCTTTGGATCCCTTTTACCAAATTCACCCAATCGCCTAATCCGGACTGTTGAAATTTGATCCAACAGTTAAAGTTATTATAACTTTTAAAGGGGCCTCCTGTTTGTAGCCGTTAGATCAAATTTCAAGGGTTCAGATTGATTGATTGGGTGAATTTGGTGGAAGGGATCCGGTCCTAGCCCAACATCGGAAACCTAGCAATTCAAAATAAAGGACTATATGTTGGTTACTATACAAGGATTAATAGTGACATTTATTTCTTTACGAAATTAAGATTTTCAATTTGATTGAGGAAGAGCTTAGTGACGGTGACATGACATGGGTGCAGGCTTTGCTCGGAGCACAAGTGAGTTGACTTTAATATTATGTGATAAATATTTTGCATATGAAAAACTCCCATGTTATGTACTGTGTGTATAGCTTGGATTTACAAATGGTTATTACCCGATCATTGATCTGCTTTGTGAAATAGTATTCGTATGTGTGTGTGTGTGGGCTAGTAGAGGATGTATACCTTGTATATTTACTTTCTCGGTTCATGTGTGGATATTAAGTCCCTAATATGTTACCCTTCCATCTGATTCCATGAGTGGTTTCTGGACTCTTGCTTGACTTTCAGTAGGTTCCATGAGTGGTTCTGGAACGCTACTCCTGTTCAATTTGATGGGTGGTTCTGGAACCATAAATCTTGTCGGAGTCCACGAGGGGTTCTGGAATCCTACAGTGATTCCTTGAGAGGTTCAGAAACTATGTGCATAGTTTTTATCGGTTCCATGAGAGGTTCTGGAACCCTACTCTGTGTATCTTTGTTATCCGGTTCCATGAGAGGTCCTGGAATGCCGAACTTAAATGTTTTTAAATCACATATGTTGTATTATTGTCACTCACACAAACTTTGTAGCTTATCTGGAGTTTTTATTTGCTCGGTGCACCATTCTCACGGCGTAGAATTATTTTCTAGGGTACCAGTTAGCAGTTATAAGAGAGGTTTTTAAGGGGTGCAGCTGGCGTGCGCAGTGCACTCGAGAGTAGGGTTGTTCCCTTTTGTTGTAATTTTATTTATGCTAATTATCATATGTATATTATGTATGAGTCTCAGTTACCTCTATGTATTATTGTACTGTTAGTTTTAGCTGCCACGTGTTGATCTCGAGATCGGGGCGTGACATATTCCCTTAGGCAATGTTTTGATAATTGATGTTTTTTCTTAATTTAAGTGTTTACCACAAAGGCTGGCAGAGTAAAAAATTATGACTAGGAATTTGCTTTCATTTGGCAACTCATTTAGTCTCTTTAATTCCGGATCTTAACTCTTGGCCAAACACAAAGTTCATCATTTTTTTTCCAATTCAAATCTCTTTGAGCTACTTTTGGGGTCATCTTGAAGAAATTTATAAGTGGGAAGAAAAATGTTGAATTTTTTATATGAAGAAATTAATTTTGTTTAGATCTCATTCGTTAAATCACAAGCTAACATTATCATCGGATAACTCTTACGATTTTTTTGTATATCATTGGATAACTCTTATGATTTTTTGTTACTATAACTAAGTTTTAGGTTTTTAGCACTTGTGCTAGAGATGGTTTAAGTCAACACGGTTTAAGTCATCACGTGAGAAACGTTTATTAGATGGACGATTCTCTTTCTAAACACGCAACAAACATCAGTTGGACAAACGACGCCACTGAGACTAAACCTCAGTTACAAGAAAGAATCTCTCCTCACCAACAGGGCAGCAAGTACAAGCCCCAAGGACTTGTTTTGTTAGTCATTTTAAAACACCAGCTTATGTCAAACAAACAAACAATTCATATTCTTCTTCCATATCTCCTCAGTGATTGATTCCCACCACATTTTTATACTAAAGAAAAATAAGTACACCCAAAATTATATTACAAATTGGTAAATTACTCCAATATACACTAAAGAGGTAAATTACAGTTTCTCATGTCAGCAAGTAACATTTATTTGGAAAGTTTCAAACCCCATTCCGAAAATCGACCAAAAATGGCATGTTAAAAGCCAAAATGATAAGGTATTCAACAATCAACATTCACATAAAAATTTAAAAAAAAAAACAACAAAATGATGTACATGATATCCGCCGAAGTTTCAGTAAACCAATTCCCAGACTGTTCTATCTACCAAACATATGCAGATCTATGGTTAGTCCACTTTTATGATATTCACCCCGATACCCACATTATTCGCAAAACCATATTGTACAGATCTTAGCACCTGAGCCAAAGATGATAACATTGAAGGCAACTACAAAAATTGTACAATGAAATAATAAACTCACGCTAACATAATTAACGACACTAAACAAACCTGATTCATTGATCCTGCTACTCTTATTCCTTCCAATACCACCAATTGATCCATTCTTGAATCTGCTGCACGGAAGCCACTTTAAAATGGTATGACAATAACAAAACGAAGCGGTTGCAGCCTCCCAACGTAGCTCAATATGTACAGATTTATAAAAGCAAGCACCTCAACAGGGAATGCAAAGAACCTTATTTTCCATGGAGCCTTTGAGTTACGTATCAACGGTTTGCGAGACTGACTTTGTATGGTTTGAATCCCCTCTTCCACTGGGTTTTGATCTAGCCTTGATGGGTTTCTGAGAACTTGGCGTCCCTTTGACATTGGATCTAATAGGATCTCTGGAAGTTTGGGTGACATTACTTCCTCCTGACCAACCCAAATTGAAAATGAAAAATATTTAGCTGCACAAATATAGGTGGTTTCCTAAAAGGTAGGAATAAACATCATAGTGCATTGCTTATTTACGTGTTGGAATTCATGTGAATTCGTCAGATTTGGATTCATGTAAGTCCATCAAGACTTGGATTGCAAACAATCTTAGAAATGAGCTATACATAAACGTGAACTTATTAGGGTTTGTATCCGGACAAACTTCAAACATATTGGAGGGAAAATGACGTAAACTACATGTCAAATAAGCCATAAGGCAGTTGGTTGAATTAAGAAACTGATGGTAACTGCCATGTTGATGGGATGAGGCAGTTACCAACATTAAAGGAGTGGATTGGTCCCTCTTCTTGGTACACAACTGATGTTCATCTACGAGTGATTGCCCCATCGAAAATCCTGAGCATTTTGCAGTGTGTACAAGAGAAGGGAAGACATCACAACCGAGAGAATCATGGCTGCAAGTTCAGGTTTGTATACTTATTGCAGTTCCATTAGGGTTTGTAATAATGCTGTATTTACTCCAGCAGCCACTAGGGTTTACACTTGTATAATCATATTAAAGAACATGTAGTTTAGTTACTTAGTTCATTGGATCCTTGTACTAAAGAGATTACATTACGATGCAGCATTTAGTCTCTTGGGGAAATGACATCAAGCATACGCCACCTGCGTATTCTAGAAACAGATATGGCTATCTGAAGGCTTTTTGTTTTCCGGGGAGCTTTATAAATTGAGATAAAAAATAAAAAAAAAAAAAAAAAAAAAAAACACATTAAGATAAAGCCTGGATATGCTGCTAATTCACAAAGATGAGCTCATACAATATATATAGAGGGAGGGAGGGAGAGAGAGAGAGACTCACTGCTATTTGGCAGAGACAGCCGCTTCTTTGCCCGTTTGTCTGATTCTGTGGCTCTCTCTTTTGGATTACTATGGGATCTTGAAGTAATAGCAGGTTTGGAGTTTCTTTCTTCAGCTGCATCATCCAAATTTGGCTTCGACTTTTGCTTTTCAAATTGGGTATTGGATGCCTCTAACATTCCGGCCGACTTAATAGGTGAAGAATCACAGCCATCAGAATGACACGGACCGGCTTTTTGACTTGAAATATTTGATTGAATATTTGAAGAAAAAGGTTTCTTGCCAGCAGATTTTAACTGGGGCATACTGCTGTTCTTATCATCAGCTGATTCATCCACATGTACCATTACTCCATCCCTAAGATTAATATCTAGAAAGCGGTTCTCCCAGGGACGGACAGCCATCCATCTTTCTAACCAGTTCCAACCCCAGCTGCTTTTATCTGGTTCAAACCCAGATGGAACTGGCAGCTGCCTTGATCCAGCTTGCCACTGCACAAAAACAAAAATCTTATGTGTAAGTTTGTGGGGGTGAACTAAATGCTTCTAACAATTTCCAACTAGGAAAAAAGACTTCTAATGACCCACTGCAGGTTAATATAAAAGATTGATGCAGCTGAGATGAATAATGTGTGTGTAACACAAACACACTATAATTCCACAACTTAAAAGAAAAAAGACATCAATCACATTCACATCGAAATGTCCAACAAACTTTATGATATCTATGTTTTCCCTTGCAATTTCAATAGGGTGCTGTTATTTTGGCACTCCAAACCTTTTAATTTTTTGAACAAATGATATTATCTACACTAAGGGGGTGGGGGAGTGGGCTAAGCCTCACAATGGGCTAGCAATAATGTAGTTCAAATTCGCCTTTGGCGAGAATCGAACCTAAGACCATTCACTTACAAATGAAGAGGAATACCACTAGACCGTAGTACTACGTGGCTACTCATTTTATGTTAATAAGAATCAGTGGTAAAGTATGTGACAAGCCTTGTCCATCATACAAGAAAGGAACATGTTTACCTCAACCAGCGAACTTATTTTAAAAGAATTCTATTTGTTATCTCTGTCTGCCTCCAAAACAAATTCGTAGGTAAGTGTCTTAACAATTTGTTTGATGGCTAAAGTAAACTTCAATTTAATTGCAATCAAATTGAGGATTCGGAAATCACCATAAAACACACTGATCTAATTATATAATCAAATTCAGTTTTGCTTAATGATGATTTCTAGAAGTAGATGGCCCAACTTCAAACAAATTATATTGGTTGAAACTTCTGTTTGAAACAAAAGACCTAGTAAAACATTATTTGTTATATTTATTATACTAGCTAAATATCATATTAAAGCTGAGAATCCTAAACTGAAGTCACTACTTTCCCACTCCAGATGGTTATGTTTCAACATTTATGCTCCTCCTTTCACGTCGTGTCTTTCCTTTCAATCTTCCGTTCAATGCAATCCATACATAAATTCAAAGACAAAATAAAAAGACAAATATGCTGCTACAAGGAAATCAACAGAGCGGTTATCATGTGTCACCTGATGAGCAAGAGCATATGCCATGGCTCTCTCACGCTTAGCAGCAGCCTCCTGCCTCTTCAACAACTTGGCTTGAATTTCATGAACAGATCCTACACTGTCACACCACCCTTCCTGCACCAGAGTCAAAGCAAGAAGAAGCTGTCAACTTCGTGAGCCTGATCCTACACTGTCACACCACCCTTCTCCACTTGCCTACACCTTCGCCTTTTAAAACATTGATCCCAAGTACAAAAAGTGAACACTAAAAACTAAAAACTTAAAACGAAATATTTATCAAACCAGCCCGAAGTGTACAAGGCACACTTAAACAAACCACAGAGACTACGAGATTAAACAGAATAACACTGACTGCCAGATTGTTCACAATCCTAATCAAGCTGAGCCTACCTTGTGTTGTCCCTACCTTTACTTGCAAAGAACTATTTTTGGGATATTACCTGGATCTTATTATTATTATTTTTTTTCTTTTGTTACTTTTATTGAACACAAGATATCAATACATTAGTCATTACAACAGAAAGGACTCTATCACAAAAAGAGAAAGAAAGTATAGCTGCAATTTTCATGACAAATCTGAACTACTAAAAAATGTTAGCTAAAAACTGCCCTCCTATCTAGATGAATATTGGACAGAGGTATACCAATGAAGTCAGTTGAAGATTGAAAAGGATGCCCACATAGAGAAGCAAAACCTAGCCCTGTCCCATTATTTCCCTCTAAATGCATTGAGATTCTCTAATCACCTCCAGCTTCTATTGCGTTTAGTTTCTGAACCATAGCTGTCTCTTTTTCCAGCCCCTTAGACAGTTACAGGGATGCCTTTTACTAATTTTTTGAGTATTTATACTCCCAGGTTTTAACTCCACCTAAAATGAGAGAGCTTAACCCTAAATCCTAAACTTCAAAACAAAGATTCTACAAGAACCCTTAGGCATAAGCAACTAAACTCTATAAGAGAAAACCACAGTAATCCCTAATAGAACTTCAAACGAAAAAATTTAAACATGAAAATAATGACTCCCATCTGCACACAGTATACTGTTTTGTAATTAAAGTAGACACAGTATCTACACTTGCTTACTTCTATTTCTCGAACACGAGCCTCGTTTGCAAGTTGTTCATGAAGCCTTTGTTGAGCCGTTTGACCTTCCAATGCCAGGCGAACGCGCCTTGCTCGCACTCGAGCCTGAACTCTAACTAAAGCTTGCATACAGCGAAGAGTTATTGCCGCTTGTTTTCTCACAGCATGGCCTCTGACAAGGGCTTGAAGTCTCACCAATCCTTTTAAAGCTCGAAGAGCTCTTCTAGCCTGATATTTATCACCAAAAAATTATAATCTGATGACCAAAAAAAATGAAAAAAGGTCAATAAATCAAATTATATGGACAAACACAACATGCAGCCACTGTCAATAAAGTACAAACTTTGAAGATGTGGTAGATTAAATGAAGATTGCAGAACAAACCCTTTATGCAAAAAGCTTTCTGAAACAATAAACATTTGCATTTTTTCTCTTCGACATGTCAGTCCAACTATTCAAGCCACCAACTCTGACTAAACAAATACATCCTAGGTTGTTTCACAGAAAAAAAAAAAAAAAAAACTTGTCAACCAATACAAATGGCATGTTTGCCAAACCACAAAATGAAAAATGTTTATAAATTCAATTAGCCATCTCTACATGCTTAATGATGACCTGACTTTTTCAGTTTAAGGCTTGGTAGTTGCATACAAATCAACATTTCATTTTGTCACAAAATAACCTGATAAACTGCCAAACTGAATCTTGATCTATGCTTGAGAAATAGGCTTTATTATGCAAACACAAGATTGCTGGCAATTTTATTGGAGCTCATTTAGAAGGTTACGCAGTATTACCTTTTTCTTTTCTTGTGGTTACTGCAATGCTAATGGGTGGTATCTTCAGCAATTTTTATAGTTAAGGGACTGTTTAGTTTATTGTGGTTAAACTCTACGGGGCAGTTTAGGATAGCCATGTGATTGCAGAAACTAATATGACAGATATGGAATTTTGGAATTTTATCACTCCAGTAATATTATGATATGCAAGTCCAACTTCTACTTTCATTTTTCCTTTGTCTATAAATGTAAGCATGTGCGCACATCAAATCCTTCATTATTTCTATTAATTAACACTTACTACTGTACCAATTTTTGAAAAGAAAAACAAAACATATACTGTTATATAATTGTTAGAGTAAAATGAGACTTTTGAAAGAAGAATTTGATATAAATTCATTTGAAAAAAGTCATACTTGAAGTAAGCAATACAAACATCATTATCAGTGCTCAATGAGTGCAAATAGAATTGAAAATTTTAATACCAGAAAGCCACGAAAGGCTGTTTGAATGCGTGTGGCAGCCCATTCTTCCCTCGCATTCTGCTCACTTTCTGCATTGTGCATTTGAAGTGAGGCAGAAGAAGAATCCACAGCATCTGGGTTTAATTGAGTACTGGCATCTCCAACTGGTGGAGCAACATCTGCATCAAACTCACATTTAAGCCTATTTGTGTCAAACTCAATGGAATTCTTTCTCCTGTGCCGAAACTTGTAACCAGCTATTTTCTGCAATGATTGAAAACAGGGAAATAAGTCAGACAGACTGGTAGGTTTGGATAATGTAAAAATATCCCATAAGAAAACAAGTAAGATGGAGAAAAAATGTCATTGAAGTGTTTATCCAACCTTGCAAGTGATCGCATGAAGAACAAGAAAGAAGAGGAAAAGAAATAGGAAGAAGATATATAAGATTGGTATTGAAAGTCATGCTACCCACATTGTCATCTTTTTCAATAGATTGCGACTTTTCTGATTTCTTTAACAATGCCTTAATCCATTTTCCAGATACTCCCATGTCGTCAGTCAATTCAGCACAACCAAATGAAGACCTGCTAAGGGAAAGTTTTTGACAGTTAAGTTGTACGTGCAGCTACAAGACTTATTAATTATTATAATATTACTTAATTTCCAAAAAGGATGCTTCTTGATCTCTCACCTAAGGAACCACTGCTACCAGAATAATCACTTACGTAAACTGGTGCACCAACCCAAATTTTCAGGCAACATCCTCATGTCTTTGAAAGCATTATAAACATGAAGCTGAAGTTTCAAAATATGCAGAGCCAAGTAACCCCACATATGATGCAAATCAAACCGGAAAACAAGAGCGATATTTTATCACGAGTAATAATCATACAAATTCTAGAATCTCAACCATATAGGCCATTGTCAATTGTCCTTAGGCCCAGATGTAAGCAATACTACCTCATAAGTTCATAGCAAAACTTGACAGAACTAAACAAAGATTCACCATAGAAACAGACCCTGTAACTTCCACAGCTAAGATTCAGAGGCCGAATATTAGTCTTATTGTAAAAGCATCCAAACTTTCTAAACAATATTGCTTAGCAATCAAGTCCCACATGGATAAAAGACTTTAAGGGAGTTTTAAGTCAAACCAGAGAGGCTAAAAACGCTTACGATTGGTAATACAGTACCCCGATCGCACAGTGATGTAGGACATGAAATAATATTATCAGAAGATGCAATTCATTTGGCTTTTGAAATTCTTCCGAAAAAAACACAGCTGACGGACATTGAATATAAGGCAGCAATTATACTGTAGTGGGCTAGATTAAAATCTGTTACATGTATGAGCCTTAAATGAGGGAGGGGGGGCGCTTTTAAGCATCTATAAATTCATGTATTTGTAAAGTAAAGTAGTAGAAGTTGTTCAGTACTACAGTCTAGTGGTATTCCTTTTCACTTGGAAGTGAGAGGTGTTAAGGTTTGATTATTGTCCGCGAATTTGAACCACATTATTGCTAGCATATTGTGAGCTAACTGCAGATAATATTGTTTGTTCAAAAACAAAATGTAACAATTTCATCAAACTCGCATCCTTATTGCCAAACCAACTGACAATACAACAACCCAATTGGATAAAATTACAAACCTCAATTGCGATCAACCAAAGCCATCCTCGACACTCACTTAACACCCCACTAAGCCCAAATTCAACCCCTCCATTCCAAATGACCGAAATTCGCAACTTTCGAACAATTCAGACTGAACCCTCGAAAAAAAATTCCCTAGTAACAAAAATAGAAAGAATTGGGCAAATAAACGCGGATCCACCGATCACCAACATAACATACTCAATTCACTCGAAGGCGAAAAATCGGACACAAGCAAACAGAGAGAGAGCTGTAAAAGGAGAGAGTAATCTGAGTGAAGTACAGAGAAAAGTTGGAGATACCTTGATCCATCAATCAATGGGGTCAAACTAGTCAAACCCTCAGTCAATTTCCCCTCTATCCTTTTCAATATCTGCTCACTCGAATTCAACCTTTGGAATTTGGAATTTGGAATTTGGAGCTTCAGTTTTTGCTTCTGCTTCGTTCATAAGCGAATTTTGCAGTTTGTGATAAGAAAGGACGGCAGGAGTGAGGACCGGTCGCTAAATGTGCACCGGAAGGCTTGTTACAACTTTTTCTTGATACGGCGTCGTTGAGAGGGTTGGGTCCTTGTCACGCATGAGCCATAGTGTGTGTGACAGAGTTAATCACGGGACGAATGCCACCCACAGAAATATAATGAAAAGCGCAAGTGGTCTTTAACAGTAATGTAGTGGAAAGGAGTTGAATTTTTGCATGACCGTTTGAGTTCGAATTTCGTTGGTATCTAATTTAATTTATAATTTAAAAAAAATTATTGATTGAAAATATATATGTATATAGGGAGTGGTGAACGATTAGGTAGGCCTTTTTGCCCCTGTGCACGTTAGAGTTCACCCAAGTGAAACTTGGAAGCATTTTGCTCCCTAATTATCGTTTACGAATTCATAATTAGAATGAAGAGTGGTGAACGAGGAATCATAATTAGATTCATATTAAAGTTGTTTACTAAATTATTTGAAATTGGAGTAGGAGTGATAATTTCATATAAATTGTTCACAAACGCCCTCATTGCAAAAATATATTTATGTTATTTAATTGTATCACCAATATTAATAACAATTCTATTCATTTTTAACAAATTAGAGATCGTGTCCTGCCTTCCATCTCCATGCGAGTTTTTGGATATGTGTAGATCTGAGTTTGCACCGTCAGCTTATGTTGTGATAATTGCAATGTACAATATCACTCAAGTAATATAATAAAAAGTCGAGTGTCGTTTCAACACGAATTAGTTTAATCTAAATTTACTATTGTAACCAAAATTCAACTAAAAAGTTAACTAAAAAAGAATTGTGTTGACAAAATTGAACATGTAAGAAACTAAATATAAGTAAATATGAAAGATGAATGAATATAATGCAAGACAAATAAAATATTAGGATGCCGACTTCATCTAACCAAATCTCATGCGAAATCTACAACCTATTAACCCTAATTATTTTCCATGTCGACAGTTGGTTTTCCTAAATTATAAGGCTTAACCAAAAGCATTCCTAACTAGCAACCCATTTTCTTTCGAGCAACAAATTTAGAAAATCAAGAACTCATTATGCATTATGGAAAATCCATAAAAATAAAAAATAACAAACTATATGAATCATGTTAGTCCATTCCTGGCACTCATTCAAGACATGACATTCGTTACAAGAAGCTATATGTTTGTGTTGAGGCCCAAAATGTCACATGCAAGCCCTATCGTCATAAAAGGCCCCAAGCTAAACCTAAACACATGCAAAGGTGCGAAATCGAGAAAGGGAAATATTTACAATCATGCCACCCTCCAATTATTAAACTGGACATTCATATAAATCACGCCATGCCCACGCAAATCCATGCATATACGTCACACCAAGCCTTATCATGCTAAAGTAAGCCCAAGTCACATGCCTAAAGCTTGCCAAACGAATTGTGGTGTGGATGGTTATGGAAGTTTATCGGGCCGATGCAGAGTCAAGATTATGGAAGACTTTGGGCTGCTTAGGGGCCCAGATCCAAGCCCATAACCTTTAAAGTCCACGTGGGTGAGTTTGAGAGAGAGCATACTTAGTTTCCTTATTTACCTAGCAAGCTAACCAACTTAGCTAGGAATGAACCAAACCATAAGCCTTAAAGTCACATGAAAGCCCAACAGAGCATGCATTTAATGAAGAGAGAAGCTGACTTTCTCTTCCTAGTTCACGCAGAAGAATAACGCACGAAAGTCAAGAGACGTGTTACCAGAAGTAACGCATGTCGAAGGCTAGCCCGGGAAAGTAGTGCCTAAGGAAGAAAGTCTAGCGCAGGCTTCACGAGACCAACAATGCCTGTCTACCTTATACCAAGAGGAAAAGTCGTAGTTGCGCTAGGAGAAAAAAGAAAGAAGACCAAGCCACAATTAGAGATTCGTTAGGAATCCTAGAAATGAGTCATTCACCTACAAAAGGAAGGTCAGAAGCCATTAAAAGGGGATCTAACAACTCAACCCAGGGAGAAGAGATAGTACGTTATGAGGATTAAGGATTATACTGCTCCAAACTAGGGAAATCACTCCCTTAGTGCAAACAACCTCAAACCTCAGAATGCACCACCCCTGCAACCATGTTGTTTTTCCATAACTTTCCTTTGAGCATCCAACCATTAGAAGCTTTGTTACTACCCTAGGAAACCCAGATTATCCAGTGGCCACGCAAACACTCTTTCTCATGCTAAACTGATAAACTTCTAGCTTTCACACCACACCTTACTTCACTTGAGCAAGCCATTATTTGCTTAATCATGTTATCTTATAGTCATTGATATAACCAAGATATTTTCTAAGACATGCTAATTCTTTCGAGATATTTTTGGACTTGGAATGAAACCGAACCAAGGGAAACAAGAGGACGTTCTCAAAACCCAACCCCACCTCAACCGAAATGTCCCCTAACAGTATCTCTTTCTAGTCTCAATCTAATTCTTCTAATCAAACAATTAGTGGCCCATTAATTGCAAGCATTAAGAACAGTAACGAACACTCAAAATTGACTAATAATGAGAAATTAATATAATTGTAAACTTCGAGTATTCATGGATAAGCTAGATCTTAGACCTAGCAAATAAATTAGATCATTTTAAATTTAAATAAAAACATGATAAAATTTGAAACATAGAAAAAAACAACCACAGTTTTACCTCAGCTCCATGACAAATCTACAAACTCTAGTTTATTCCTTCTTGCTCTCAACTTCTCTCTCCTTCTCTGTATGTATGTGTGTTAAGCTAAGAGGTCATTTTTTTTTCTGTACCATCTTTTGTCTAATTAGAACTGGGAATTACTACTTCCTTAAAAAGCAAGGAAAAATCAAAATTTTCCTTTCTTCTTGAAACTACACGCCGCTTGGAAGTAAACCCAATCCTTATTGGGAAAAAGATCATCCGCTTCTAGTAACTTGGGCCACCGCACCTTCCATCTTCATTGGGCCCACTTTCAATTACACAAATCATCCAATGCTTGTACTAGTCCAACACAAATCATGCGACCCCTTCAAAATTTCTTCAATTTTCTCATATTTTTACCATAAAGTTCATGTTTTGCTCCTAAATTATCTTTTCTACTAAACTCACACAAAACACATGAAACCCAACAATGTAATATAAAATCATGACTAAATAAAATAATGAATTGTTTTATCAAAATAAATTGTCCTAATCAAATGAAACCTTAGAGTATAAAGTTCTTCAGAGCACATAAGAATTTTTTGGGCAAGAAGAAGCGAAAACGGTATAACATCAAAGCAAATCCACTGATGAGTTGATTTCGTATCATGTATTTTACTCTATTCTTAGTATGTTTTGATAATTATTTTGATGAAATTTTGACACTCTGAATTATATTTTAAATGTAGGACATGCGACTTCCTCTTGAGCAAAAAGTGACAAACGGATGAATTTGGAGTGATTCCAACTGAACGGTGTTCGTGAGTCTCTCAACTTGTTTGTATCAAAGTTTCAAAATTTTCTACTAACCAATTAACTTATGGAGAAGAAATAAAGGATCAGCGTGTGAAGCTGTCAAAGTGACGCTTGGGACTTATTTGGGCATTTTGGCATCCTAGATGGTGCCTTTTGGCGATGTGCCATTCTACAAATATGTTCAAGACAACTCAAGCTTTAAAAAGAGGTATCTTGGGCTTGTTTTAGACCTTGAATGTGGCAGATTTATGAGCTGGCAAGTTTCTCCATGCTTGACTAGGAGATTGTTTCCTAGTTTCCCTTAATTTACTTTATTTCCTAGTTTTTAGAAAGACTTTTTCTAGGAAGGGTTTTAATATTATAGTAGTATAAATAAAGATTTCGGCCCTAGGGAATTCTCTACACAACTTTTAGAGGATTGTCGAAGGCTCTGGCAGACTTCAGAGTTTTTCATACAAGGTGTTTACTATCATTTTCTTCTTAATAATATTTTCTTTGTTTTTAATTATGATTATGCATAACTAACTTTCTTTTGCTAGGGCAAGGCCATGAACTTTAGCAGGAATATGTAGTTTCTTTTCAATTATTTATGATATTATGCATGCATGTTTTGAATTATTAATTACTGTGCTTGAAACTAGACTTGTCTTGATGATTGGCCACCATGAGGATATTTAGAAAAGTAATTTAATGCAATTTTGGTCGGAAGGTTCCCTGAAATTGGCTATGGTTTCTTGTGGTTAATAATTGTAAGTTCACTTAGAGCGAGTACCACATTATAAGGGTTGCATGGGTTTTCAAAGGGTTTCCATAAAGCTTAACGAGTCTTTCATGTTCACATTTGATCTGAATGTCCGTATAGATTGCATGTTTGATATATGTACTAGCTTGGAGTGTAATACCTTGATTATATTTAAATATGTGATTTAGTTATGAAATTTAAATGGGGAAAAATAAGAAATCTCGTTCCTAGATTTTGTGATTACGTATTTTATAGTCGTATTTGGAGTTACGACGCATTTATATTTACAAAGTATATTTGTTCGATAAGTGCAAAGATGGAAATTCGCCTAGTTGGCTAAACAAAATTATACAAGGACGTATTTTATCCTTATATGTTTCGCTGTATTTCTTAGCATATTTGGATAAAGGTCTATCCTACAAGCGTGTAGGAGAAAATTGTTCATGAAATAGAGTTTTAACGAATGAGAAATTAACGGTTAAATGCAGGGGTAGAATGGTAGTTAAACCTTATATCTGGAAGGCTCCTGGAAAGCTGGAGAACCTTCTCGTGAAAGATAGGCCATGTGTGTGGTTGTGATTAGGGAAGAGAAGAAAATGAGAAAAATGTGAGGGAAATTGGCCAATTGGGGGGGGGGGGGGGATAGAGAAATAAGAGAAAGGAAAGGGGCTGCAACGGTAGAAGAAAGAGAAACGGTCCAAATCCGGCAGACTCGTTTCCTGACTCATGTACCCTACTGCAGACCCAGATTTCTGGGCAATCTTTGACAGTTTTTCGTCGAATTTCCAACGAATTGAGTTGATCCACCACCCCCAATCATCATATTGTCCCTTTTTCTTCTATTTCCACTAAAAACCCAAAGGGATTTGGCCTTGGTTTTGGTAAA